AAAAATATTATATAGAGAGCAATTTGTCATAGAAAGAACTGAAGACCCATCTCTTGTTAATAGTAATAATTCCCCTCCAAAAAATCACTTTCCGGCCCACCCCGCACCCCAAAATCTCAAAAATATTAAAGTTCTGAGAAAACCCGAACCCTCCCTCGCCAAGGTTCATCTTCACTCCCTTTTTGGATCTGCTCCTCCTCCTCCGTCGGAAAAAAAAGATTGAGGTTTGGTGCATTTTCCACCCGAGGATGGATCCTGATCAGCGGCTGTGCTGGTTCTTAGGAAGGCGAGTTACTCCCTTGGGTTGGAGAGTAGCTTTGGAGGGGGGGTCTATGCCGTGGCCTGGATCTCAAAGAAACGAAAACCACCAACACCCACGGATCCACTCTAAAGACGTGGCCTGAACCTTAAGGAAGCCGAGGGCGGACATGACGTCCGGGCGCTCTTTCTGGACGACGTCTTTGTCATTTAAGGTGCGGAGGAAGATCAGTGGCACGTAGCACTCCAGAGAGACAGAGAGAGAGAGAAACCTCCTTAAAGGTGAGCGGGAAGCTTTCCCCAGCCACCCTTTCCGGCACTGAAGGAGCCGTCGTGGCTGGAAGACTGCGTGGCAAAAGAAGAGTTGCTGGTGCACGAGGAGGCCCAGAGCGTGGCCTGGGAACGTTCCACGTGTGTGTGCGGGTAACTCGCCTCTCACTTCATGACTGCAGAGGTTTGCCCCAATCTGGAAGAGGGTTTGGCCTCCAAGTGGATAACGGTCAGGAGAAGAGGGAGGAGAAACCCACGCATCCACGGGGAAGGGGGGGAATCATTTTCACATTTCAGGAACATCAGGGAGTGACATGTGGGAAGCCCACACCTGCCGGGCCTCGACTCACGCTCGAGGAAGACCCCTTTGCTCGACTGGCTGATGAGAGAGGAGGAGAGGGAAAGCTCGCCTCTCCAGCCCGGAAAGACCATGGAAACGGACCTGAGACAAAACGCTGGCTGCCTCGGGAGGGGTGGGGGACCCCCTCCTCAAAACTAAACGGTTTGGAGGACAGCCCAGACAGGCTATGACTGGCAGAAGCGGGTGTGTGGGAAAGAGGGGCCACCTCGGCTGGAGGTCATTTTGGTTCCAAGATTAAGAGAGAAGACGGCGAGAACCCAAAGGGATCCAAACCACTTGCCTGGACCGAGAGGGGAATAAAACCAGGAAAACCAAACAGGGAGAGTCCAACAGGGAAAGCCAATCAGGGGGAGTCCAACAGGGAAAGCCAAAATGGGGACTTTCAGGGTTGTGTTTTTAAGCACGTGCCTCCCTCACCTGAAATGCCCCCTCCTTTTGACCGGCAATGCAGAATTATTTATTTTTTTCAAGGGGGTGGGGCAGGGTGTTAAAAACTTGGAGACTGTCCACCAGAATTCAAACATCCGCTCTCTTCAAGTTAGACTTTGAAGGGTGTTGTTTTCTTTGGAAAGTCCACAGGAAAAGCCAGAGAAGGGAGTCGGGGCACCCCCATCCCCTCCCTCCTCTGGCTCTTTTCTTCACAGCTTTTCTCCTTAAGCCCCCTCCCCTCGTGCCAGGGAAGAGATGGGGCTGGTCACGGGTTCAAACTGAAGGAGGGCTCTCCCTCTTGGTCAGGAAGGAAGGAGGGGGAAAAGGCCCCGATTTTAAAAGTGAACAGCAAGCAAAAAACCCGTCTCATCCGCTATTAATTCAAAACTGCTTATAGGCGAATCTGAGGAAAACTGAACGACGAACACTTTTGGGGTCAACTGGACCCTCGGGTGGCCTCGATGGGGAGACGGGTGTGCGTCCGTCCCGCTTCTGGAAAGACACCAAACTCCAGTCTCGAAGCGGGAGGGAGCAGAAGGGGGCGGAAAGGAGAAGAGAGGGGTGGTGGAAATGTATAAATTAAAAAAGAAAACAGTGGGCTGTTATGGCCATTTAATCACAGAGAGTGTCGGGAACGGGTGGCCGATGGGGAAGAGGGCCAAGAATGGGTGGCCCCCTGTTAAGATACGGGCTGGCGAGGCAGAATCCGCGGAGGAACCGCTTTCCAAGTGAACACACGCACACACTCCCGGCAGGGAAGGGCTGCAAACTCTTCCGGGAGCGGGGATCACGTTTGGTGGGCTCTGAACGTAAGCCGAGGGACCTTTTCTGCGAAGGTTGCAATATGAGAAAAAGCAGCGCCGGGCATGGAGGACCCGGGGCCATGCCGGCCTCTGAGGGAAAAGCGGCCGATGTCTTGCAGGAAGGACCTGGCGCAAACCCGCTTGAGACTCAAAAGCTGAGAGCCGGGCCATGGGAACGGCGTTTCCCCCTCCAAACCTCATCCCACTCTTCGCCTTTGGGAAACGGGTCGCGGCTTCGCGCCCGTTCAAAGGGGTGGGTGGGAGGGAGGTGGCGTCCTCGCCCTCGGCTCTTCTCCGGCCCTGTTTCAGTGCCACGCTTGGAACTGCTGTTGGTCGTATTCGGCAATCAGTTTTTTGATGTGGGCCAGTTTGTTGTGAAGGTATTCACAGCGGTTTTTCTCTTGGCTGTAGTGGGGGTTCGTCTGTAAGGGGGTGGAAGAGAGAGAAAAGAAGCAGGTGAGGAAAAGGGGGCCTCAAGATTTACTGAAGAAAGCACCAGGGGCTGGGAATTTGGGACCTAGATAGAGTAGGACCCCCGTATCCACTGTTTCGATTATCCACAATATGAAAATATTTTTTAAAAAATCCTCTAATTTTTTTTAAATTCCAGAACTGGACCTTAGAGGGAGCCAGAAACCATGCTATGTGTAGCATTTGCTATAGATGTGCTTCTCCTACACAATGAGGTTTTGTTAATTGCTGGTGGAGACCTCCCCATGTCCTAAAATCTTTCTAATCCCCATTCCGCTAAAACACAAGATTTTCACAGTGCTTGAAGGGGAGCTCAACCATACACAGACAGACATACACACAAGATTGGGGGTGGGGGGGAAGCACCACGGTGAACCTGAGGGCTCACAAGACTCACTTTTTTAATCTTCCGGTATTCTTGCAAAATCTGATCGTGGATTGTCTGTGGAAGAAGGAGGCAGCGAAGGTTAACGTTTAGCAGCAAATCCTTGGCCACCGATGGAGAGAGCCTAGAAAGGTGGTCTTTTTCTGGGCCAGCCATTCTCGGGGGCAGGGGGTTGTAGTTAAGAGTTTGTGTCACTGGTTCCCATTACACCACAACTTCCCACACTGGGACCAGGGTAAAGAAATGCATTTTTTTGTGTATTTAACAGGTCTCTCACCCCGCAAGGGTAGTGTATCACACTCTCTGGCTAGTTTAAAATAGTAAATTCAGTCAAACAACACCCAACCCAAACATACGATTTCCATCAACAAAGAATGATCTGCAAGCAAACCCGACTTCAAATAAACACTTAACCCGCTTAAAAATCCCAAGTCCACATGCAAGGAAAAAAAAGCTGCTTTATAAAGTTCAGCTTTCACCCATTTTTCAAAACTTGGGAGGGAGCCTGCCTCATCTCTGCAGGAAGGTGTGCTTTGCCACCTGCTATTTCTTTTTCAGGTTCAATTTCAGGTTTAATGAATTTTCAGGACGAGATTTAAAAAAATCCATGCATATTTTCACCTTAAAATAATGTCCCGTTAAGTTTCTGTCTTTGTATTGAGTATTTTCAAGAGGAGAGGGAGGACGGGAATGGAAGAAGAGGGACCCGTGAGGGTTTCTCAAAAATCCAGAAGTCGGATTTGGGATCCGTCGCCTCGCGAGGCCCAAAAACAGGTTCACGGACGGAGAACATAGGCAGGCTCCCGGTTGGTCTGCTTGCCCACCCACCTGCCCCTTCCTTGGGCCCACCTTGTACTCCTCAGATCCTTGCGTCAGCTGCTTCAGCTGGGAGTCCAGCTGCATGAACCGCCGCGTGATCCTCTCGATCCGGGCGTGGAGGCCACGGTATTCGCCGTACTCCGCGTTGAAATCGTTTTTGTAGCTCTGCCGTTGCTCCGAGGAGGCGATGGCGCCGTAGGTGCTGGGTGGTGAGCAGGTGGGGAAAGTTAAAAACCCATGAATGACCCACTGGCTAAACTTGTGACCGAGTGTGGCAGAGGGGCTCACAGAGGCCTCTGAAGCTCAGCATCAGGTTATTACGGAATTTAAGAACCCAAATCCTGGGCATCATCCTCCACACCTAGGTGGGGAATGGATATTTCAGGGGTTGAAGTCTCTGGGTGCAAAGCTGGAGGTTGGGAGCTTGAATCCCCCACTGTTTATTATTATTATTATTATTATTATTATTATTATTATTATTATTATTATTATAGTAGGACCCCACTATCTGTGGGGGAATCAGTTCCAACCTCCCCCCTGGGTGCCAAAACCCACAGATAATAGCAAACGATAAACACAGTCTGGTCCCTCTTTCAACACTTACACCAAATAATCTGGGGCGTCTGGCGTCGAGGTGGGAATGCTGGAGCTGTTGCACGTCCCATTGAAACCTGGAGAAGACAAAGAAATTAGAGGTGACAACAGGAATAAAACAGGGGAGGAAAACCCACCGTGCTGACTGATTAAAAAAACGGCCCCAATTAAACCCATTCTATTTACAGTAGGAACCCCCTTCACCATGGGATCAGTATCCACTGGTTCACTTATCCACGGTCTGAAAATATTACAAATGTTAAAAGAAAGAGAGAGAGAGAGAGAAACAGGTCTCTTCCACTGCAATAGCTTTCCAGTCCTAGGAACCGACTGAAGTCACGGCGTCGTTCGGCTCGGGCGACACACTCACCTGCCCCGTCATGGGTGGGCCCCATTCTTGGGCCACCCTCCTTTTGTTCACCGTGGGGCTTCTCTCGGGTGGCCGGGGTCGGCGGCAGCAGAGGGGGCTCTCCCGTCCGGTCCCTCTCCTTGTGCTTCTTCCCCTTCTTTTTCGACTTCAAGTGAAGTCCGCCGTTGTGTTTGTTCGCCTGGGCAGAGTCCGTGGCCGGCCGGGATGTGGCTGTCCGCTCGGCTGGCTCTGTCAGCTCTGAGTCCTTGCTACCCCCGTGGCTCAGGTCGTTGCTGACGTCGGCAAGCGGGTCGTGAGGCCGGGGCGGCTCCGGTGCCGGCAAGAGGGAGCTGGAGGTGACAGAATCGGCCGCCGTGGCCGCCACGCCGGGCCCGTGGCCGGCGCCCCCGAGCTTCCCATTAAAAGTCCTTTGGGCAAAGTGGGAGATCCGTTGCTTTTTGCTGGAGGTGGAGTCCGTGAATTCTAGGGGCTGGGGTCGCTTCTGGGGAAGGGAAAGACACTTTTTATATTTTTTTTTAAAAGGTAAAAAGAAAAGCACAATTGTTAATGTTTTTCTCCCTGTGTTTACCTGCTTTTAATTATTCAATCCTATTTTAATTAGCGTACTGTTTAATTTTATTTTTTAATATGTTTAACTGATTATGTTTTTAATTCTATTCTTTTAATAATGTGAGCCGCCTTGGGTACCCTTCTTGGGAGAAAAGCATCCTATATATGAAACAAATAAAATAAATGTAATTAACTTTTGTGTACTTACTGTTCTCAGCTTTTAAATGTCTTTTACTGCCACCTAGGGCCCTTTTTATTTATTTGTTTTTAAAAGAATTATCAACAATATTACTATAGACAAAACAAAACATAGGAAAAGACAAACAAGGAAGACAAAAAAATACACATATTTTGACAGAATTAAAAAAATAGAGAAAAAAATAGAAGGGAAACAACTAAAATTAGTGCAACCATCATCATCACCAGGACCAGCAGAGACAGAACTTTCTCCAAAGTTTTTGATTATGTGGCCCCAAACAAGAGATAAAGAGATAAAATAACTTTTATCTCTTGCCTTCACCTTTTGCTATTACAACATTCAAAAAATTTTGGCCCTACTTCAGCAAATGTCTTCTCTTTTAAGAATCCCTTTTAAAAATGATTATATCCCAGAACAATTGATCGTTCACTGTTATGCCTGGGGTCCGTTTTTTGTTTTTTTTTAGGAGAAAGGGGGGATAAAAATATTTTAAAGAAACAAAAAAAATACAATACAATACAGTGGTGCCTCGCACAACTGGCGCCTCGTAGAGCGATGAATTCGCTCTACGAGGCCGGTTTTGTGATCGCAAATGCGATCGCAAAACGGTGCCTGCATAGGGCAAAAATCGCAGAGCGAAGGTCGGTAAGCGGTTCGCTTACCAACCTTCGCTTTGTGACCCACCGATCAGCTGTTCGGCGGCTACAAAATGGCCGCCTGAAACCCCAAAATGGCCACGCGCAGCGTTTTCGCGCCCTCGTTAAGCGAGGGGAGGGCACGAAAATGGCTGCTGGCCATTGCAAAACATCGCTGAACGGTGAGTAAATAAGCCGATTGGAACGCATTAAACAAAGTTTAATGCATTCCAATGGGCTTTTCTGCCCCGTTCAGCGATGTTTTCACACAGCGAGGGTTAATCCAAAACGGATTAACCTTGCTGTGCGAGGCACCACTGTATAATACGCCAAGGTTCAAGATAAAGGCCGGCAAGTCTGGGCAGGTCCAGGAATCCATGCCCTCAAAGTGCAAAAGTCAAACAGACTAAACTAAACTAAATAAAAGGGGAAGGTGGCTAAAAGGCGAACTCTCAGTCTTCCAGAAATGATTCTCGGGGGATGCAGAATTTAAAGGGTGGATCGCCAACAGAGAAGTGGAGATTCCTTCCACCTTTTTTTCTTTGTTGGAAAAAGAGGGGTCGGAAAGACAGAGGGCTGGGATTCACAAAATAAAATATAAGATTCTTGTCAGAAGTTATACAACCAGTCCTGTAGGGGAGTTAGAATGAATGAGGTCCTTGCTCTAAGCACAGAAAACTATTTGGAAATCCTGGAAAAATGTGCCGGTACCAAACGAAACGGCCCGTCGCCACGAGAGGGCACTGCTTCCTCCCTCCAGCCCATCTCCATCCAAGAACCCAAACTGGCCTTCACTCAAAAACTCCCGGTACTCCTGGTCCCTGTCTGTAACCAGAAATTCTCTGCTCCTCGAGTGGAACAGGATGGGGAGCTCAGCGCCAGCCTGGAGGGCTCGGCTCCTTACCTGGGGAGGGGAGGCGGCGAGGGCGTTATCTCTGGTGGGGCTGGCAGGGGGGTTCTCTGTGGGGCAGCCGGCGTTTGGCGTCTGGCAGAGTTTCCTGAAAAAGAAAAGGCAGCAGAGATGGTAGGGTTTGAAACGGGATCAAAGAGACATAGTGATTTGGTATCAATAAACAAACAAACAAATAATATGGCAGTTGTCTGGGCAGGGAGGGTGGGGTTTAAACCACAGGAATATGTGGGTCAGGTTGCTTCAGTTACTTGTGGGTCTGAGAAGGTGACCCTCTCTCCGCAGCATTTGCTTGACCCTTCTTAGTGTTGGCATGCTCGCCGTTGCAAAAATATTATTTTACATAAATAAATAAAAATAACAAATCACGTTGAGAAGCAGCTTGGACAAGGGCCATGTTTCACGTCCAAGGTGTGTGGCTCCCCCCCAACTCCCACCGCCAAACAGCGCGCCCGGAAAATGTCTGCCACGGTTTCCGGCAAAATGGGGGGGCTCACGATCCTGCTTTGCAAGCAGTCTTTGAAAACCTAGCCTGCATTTGGGGTGCATGGATGGATTTCTCCTTTCCTTTTTTAAATCTTCCTCTTTTCCTTCCTTCTCATTCTTGAAGCCCGCCTGCCCAACCCTGCAAGCTGATGCTACAAAGACTTAGGGCGGAGGTCCATACCAAACGTGGACTCAACCCCTCCCCCCAAAAAAACCTCTGCCCCCTCTTTGGGCTGCCATTATGGGCCAGCAGCAGGTGGCTCTGTTTCCAGCCCTGATCACATCCTGTCTTTCTCTTTTGTGTGCGTGCGCGTGCTTGTCCAAAGGCAAACAAGCACGTCTGCACACACATGCTTGCTCTCGCTCTTCCCCCCCCCCCACGGTCTGGCCTCCCTTCCCTTCTTTGAACTGTTGCCTGCCAAACCTCTTTGTCACAAAGAAGAGTTGGTTTAATGCCGGTCCGAACGAGCCAGCCGTTTTCTTTGGCCGAAAAATGAAAAAAAGAAAAGAAAAAGGGGAGCGAAGGGGGGGGTGTGTCCCTGATCCACGCGTGTAGGGGATGGATTTTACGTAATTCAATGGAAAACTACAGATCACAAGGGGTGTGTGTGTGTGTGTGTGTGTGTGCGTGTGCGTGCGCGCGCGCACGGTGGCACCGCCTCGAGGCCTCTGGGGGCCTGTGGTCCCACGAGCCAGCCTCCTCCTTCCCGGTCTCTGGGCATCTGGGCGAGCCGCCGCCTAAAAATAGACCCTGGGAAGGATGCGGCCGCCTGGGCAAACAAAGAGCAGGCTATGCCAGTTTTCCCCGAGGGGGAACAGAGAGGGCGGTGCGTTCCCAGGGTCAAAAAATAATTCTGTGCCCCTGCTGAGGGTTGTTTTTTTTTGTCCCCCCCCCCTCGCGCCAGGGCAAGAAGAGTACAGATCACAAGGGGTGTGTGTGTGTGTGTGTGTGTGTGTGTGTGTGTGTGTGTGTACGCGTGCGCGCGGTGGCACCGCCTCGAGGCCTCTGGGGGCCTGTGGTCCCACGAGCCAGCCTCCTCCTTCCCAGTCTCTGGGCATCTGGGCAAGCCGCCGCCTAAAAATAGACCCTGGGAAGGATGCGGCCGCCTGGGCAAACAAAGAGCAGGCTATGCCAGTTTTCCCCGAGGGGGAACAGAGAGGGCGGTGCATTCCCAGGGTCAAAAAATAATTCTGTGCCCCTGCTGAGGGTTGTTTTTTTTTGTCCCCCCCCCCTCGCGCCAGGGAAAGTAGAGCGGGCGACTCTTGTGTCAAGTCACGGAAACGGGGGCTTGGCTTTCTCTCTCTCTCTCTCTCTCTCTGGAAACCGGACGGTGCCACGGCATCCTGCATCCGGGGAGGATTTTTCAAGCGCCAACCTTTGCTGCCGTGATGGACTAGGAACTTGATTCACCATGCCGAAAAGAAATGAAAGCCCAGAACCTCGACCCTTGCGCTAGGCGTCCTCTGCAGTCCGCCGGCAGATTCGCAGTGCGCGTGCACACACAAACACAGGTGTGCACGCTTGTGAGGAAGCCGTGGAAGTGGGGGGAAAACCGCCTGGGGAATTCAAGAAATAAACGAGCAACCAGGCTTCCCTGGGGATTTCTATTGGCACTGATTCTGTCCTTTTTAAAAATTTGGCTTCAGGAGGAGTTGGTTGTATTAACAGAAGTCGAGTCTCCAAATCCCACGATTTGGTCCTTGTCCCCCTCTATTCAGCACTGGTTGGGCCTCCTCTTGAGCTCTGAGTTCAGTTCTGGACACCACACTTCAAAAAGGAGGCTGGCTGGGTGGTAGGATCCTTATTTCAGAAAGCCAATTTCCAACTTTTGCTAAACACTGCCCAGAATTCCTGCTGCAACAGGAAGGATGTCACCAAGAGGGGCGGATGGCCTCTAATTAGAGACTCCCTCCTGATCCCTGTGGCTTAACCTCATTGCGTGCAAGCTTTACACAGTCCTAAACTGAAGCCGGGACTCCTTCATCAGGAGCAGTCTACTCCAGGCAAGAACATCTTAGCCCCCGTGTGGGAGGTGCTAAGCAAGGGGATGCGGGCCAGTCACGTGCTTTGAAAGGGTCAAGTCCGACAGGCCCCTCGGCTCTGAGAGGGGCACCGTTACTCCTACCGGAAGAGGGTCCGCTTGAGCAGCTGCTGGTCTCCTTCTGAGTAACCCGGCCAGTCTTTCTGCACCTCTTTGTAAAGGCAGTCCTTGAGGGTGCAGGTGCTGTCTTTGGCGCTCACGTTGGCAACCTGTGCAGGGCGGAGAGGAGGGAGAGAGGAGAGGAGAAAAAAATAATTTAAAGCGCTACAAGGATGATTGCTGTCCTTAAGCGAAAATCGCCATAGGAAACATCGCTAAGCAAAACGCAGTTCCCCCATTGGAATGCATTGAAACCTTTTCAATGCATTTCAATGGGGAAGAAAAAAATCACCAAAAATTCAAAAAGAGTCATAACGAAGCCAAATTTGGTTAACAAAGGGTTTATTAAGTGCACTAACGATTTCAAGCGCTCTAAACCCTTTTTAAACAATTTAACACCTTTTAAAAATAGCGAAAACGGAGCTGTCAAAAATATCGCTAAGCAAAACAGGGGGACTTAAACTGTCATCGCTAAGCGAAGCAAGGTCCTGAACATCGCTATGCGAAATTCCCCCACTGGAAACATCACTAAACGGAGCGCAAGATCACTCCTAAAACCTCATCACTAAGCGAATACATCGTTAAATGAGGCAATTGCTAAGCGAGGCACCACTGTACACAGGTAGACTGCACCTCCTTAGGGAGGGTCCACACAGATTTCAGAGAAAGGAGCCACCCACAGGAGACAGAGGGAGGCTGTTGCATTCCTTTGTTTCCTTCCCCCCAATGTGGAAACCACAAAGCTTGTGAGCACGGGGCAGGTGTGTGTGCACACATGCCCTCCTGGGAGGGTCACCTGCTGCAGGATGCCATCCAGAGAGTCTTTATCTGGAGGGGAAAGGCCATCCTTCTGCAGCCGCAGGAGCAGCTCTGGCTTTTTGTAAGGCTTGAGGGCGAGAAGGTGGATCACCCGGTCTCTGAACGGCCGCTGGGAGACCGCGCTGTGGCTCTTCTTGATGGCGCTGGCCAGGTTGACCGGAGTCGGGTGCTTCCGGGACGGGACGGCGTCCGAAACACCCTGCGCGGGCTTGCGAACTTTGACGGTCTTCCCTAGAAGTTGGGCAAAATGAGGAAGGAGAGAAAAGCAAAACCCGGTTGAACATCTTTCTTCCTTTCTTCCTTCCTTTCTTCCTTCCTCTTATCCATCATCAGCTCCCTTCCTTCCTCTTATCCATCATCAGCTCTCTCCCTCCCGCCTTTCCTTCCTTTATTTTTCACCTCCATTAATGTCAAAGCACTACTCTGGGTGGTTTACAATAAATACATCATCATCATCACCATCACCATCACCATCACCATCATCAAAGAATATAATAAAAACCATGCAACCAAATGAGACTAACAATAAAAACAACAGCCCTTTTAGAAGTGCTGGCTTAAATTCTGAATCTGCGCCTAACGAGGCTGTCTTGCCTTGACGGTTTTTTAAGACCTTCCCGAAAGTCCTGCGTCTCCAAGTCAAAAAGACTTGAGAGAGAACCACCTGCTGTGAAGGGGGGAGGCGTGATCTGTGATCAGAGGGTTTTAGGTTTTGGGATCCCCGGGCCAGGCAGGCTTCCTGGAAGATGGACCCAGCAGGACAGACTGGGAAGAATGGCTCTGTTTTGCACAAAATATGGACAAACGAAGGGAGCATCAAAAGAAGGATTTATCCGATCAAACCTCTGTCCCTTGTGGGCACAGAACCACTCCCCCCGCCCGCCGATGCAGGCTAGGGAGACTTCTAGGAACGTCATTTCGGGGCCCCGCTGGAGCCTTCGTATCAAGAGGATGAAAAGATAACCCCCTCTGACTGATAAGCATGGTCTCCACTGCCCCGTGCTTTTTTCCGAACACAGCCACCACAGCGACACGCTTCCTTCCGCCTCCCCCTCCGAACACAGCCACAGCGACACGCTTCCTTCCGCCTCCCCAGCCTTCCCTCTGTCTCAAAAACCATAAGTCAGGGATAACTCAGCAGCCTGCGAAGACGCAAGAGCAAACAGCCCCCTCCCTCACAGGGAGGATCTCTATTTTTTCCTTCTTTTTTCAAAGGTTGAAGAGTTGAGTTTTTGTTTTTGCTTACATCATGGATTTCTTTGGTGGATTGGAAGCAATAACAATCGTTTCCAATGGCCAGCAATAGCCGTCAACGAAATAAAAAGGGCCAAAATTCTGCTGGCAAGTGGGACAGGCAGGAGAGTAAATTGGAAGGGGTTCATTACTGCTTGTGAACAAGTCGCGGCTTGTTACCACCCACCCACCCGTCGCTCTGGAAGCAGCATGCTTGATCCAGAGGTGCTCCCAGCCGGCTGAAAAGGAGATCAAGGTAACATGGATGGGGCCCTTGCTTGGAAAACCCAGGGGTGCAGCATCCGGATTCGACTCTGAGCTTGGATGCCCAAGTTTCCATGGTGGCCAGGAGCACGATCCACCAACCAGAGAGACCCTCTTCCTGACCACAGTGAACACAGCCCTTTGTGACATCCTGGCTGGATTGCTGTAACACCCTTTGGAAGCTGTTCAGAAGCTTCAGCGGGTTCAAAACGCAGCCGCCAAATTGCTAAGCAGAGCCGATCACAGGGGCCGCATAATACTGTTCCCCCCCCCGGCATTTAACGAAGGGACAATTAGAACAACAGATTTTTAAAAATTTTCGGCAAACTCTCCTTAAAGCAGGGCTGATTTCACCATGAGAGCCCAGATTCACCCCTCTCTACCCCACCCAAAGAGAAAGAGAGAAAGCGGCTCACCCCGGTACTGGGCCCCCGTCTTGAGGACGATGGCTCCCCGGCTGCGGGTCTCCTCCTCGGCCAGTGCCATGCTCTGCTTGGCCTTCTGGTACGACTCGTCGGTGGCGCAGACCGTGATCTTATCCTGGATCCCCCCCAGGCAGTCCAGCTGGATGTTACCATTGCTGCAAGAGAGGGAAGGGGAGTTGCAAACACAAGAGAAGCTGTTGGGTTCGTATTCCGTACACAGCTCAGAAGGAACTAGTCACAGGAAGAGCAACTATTTGCAAATAGTTACAGGAAGAGCAGTTACTTGTAACTAGTTATAATTGTAATTAATTACAAGAGCAGTTACTTGTAACTAGTTACATTTGGGATAACAGGGCTGCAACAACGCTACATTTCACAGGCACTGCCCTGAGTAGTTACAAAGACCCCGCTGAGTGCCAAAGAAGGTGGCTACCCCTCCTCTGGGCGATATACACCGCACTATTTCATCTCACACAGGAAGTGTGGAAAACAGGCACCAAGGTGCGGGAGAGAAGACCTGGGGGTATGTGTGATGTCCCTGCCTTGGGCACAGAGTTTGCCAGGCGAGCCTGGCCCGGTCCCCCTTCTCGGCCTGGCCTTCCCGCCTCGCTGGGCTGTCATGATGGTCAGGTCCCTTGAGCTTATGGGAGGCGGCGTGGCTTTTGGGGAGCAGCCAACGTCTCCGCTCTTGCTCACCTGGAGACATACTGCTGGATACAGTCAAAACTTCCCTGCAGGCTGTCCTTGCCGATGTTGGAGAGATAGAACGAGAACGTTCGCACCCCTGATGGGCAGTCGGGCTGAGGTATCGAGATGTGCTGTTTTGAGGAGAGGGAGAGAGAAAAAAGTGGCTTAAAACGTTGCCATAGCAAGACGGACCAGCCTGGCCACTGTTTGGATTCAATGGGCTTACTCTAGTGTAATTTAGGACGCTAAATCAGATTTAGGCTACTGGGTGATGCCCCGCCTGTCAAATCCTATTACGCTGGCCCACCTCGCTGGGTTGTCATAAAAGTAACGAAGGGAAGAGAAAAAGCTATTTAAATCACCTTAAGTTCCCTGACGGAAGGGTGTAAAACTGAGCACTGAGAGTAAATAATATTTAAACACTTCCCTCTGTGAAAAAAAACACACGTTTGCTTAAAGAAGCCTGCGTCAAAGAACTGCGTTCCTGAGAAGCTGATTCTCCCCTTGTGGGGATGCCTCCATCAGTTTTTTTTTTAAAAGGCTCAACCCTGCACAGAAAATCTGCAGGAAATCTACTGTGTGTGTTGAAAAATATACCACCCCTGCTTTTTTTGGAGTGGTGGTGGCGCTTTTGTAGAATTTCTTGAAAATTTCCAAAAAGTGTTTTGGGTGGTGAGGGCTGGAGGGAGAGGAAGAGCTGTGAGTAAATAACATCGAAGTTATGCTCCAGCCCCTATTAGCATGTATGTTTTGTTATTACTAGAGAAGATGCTGCCCATGGTGCCCGAGGGAGGGGCGCGAACTGATGGCAGCTGTTTCTCTCACTGCCCGTCCCCTTCCCGTAAAAAAAAAAAAGAAACAACAAACCTGTCCGTCTCCCACAGCTGCGACTTTTGCTCTCACTAGGAACGGTAAAAAACAAAAGAGAGCAATGCCAGAGAAACGAGAAAGCATTTTGGTTTCGACCAAGTCCTAAGAATAGAATAACGGCCCTTTTCTGTTTTCACATCTGAATGGAGAGGATTCTTGCTGAGGTTTATGGCATGGCCAAACCGGAAGGGGATCCTGGAGGGTCATCTAGACCAACCCCCCCAAGCAAAGCGGGAGAGATTCATAGCCAAGTGTGCTTGTTTTGGGGGGTGGCATCCGGCCTTTATTTAATAAACACCAGTGGAAGAAAGACAATGATTCCTGAAGGAGTCTAAACACCCGTGGCCAAACAGCCCTTAAATCAGGAGTTTGGGGTCTGGATCAGGATTTTTCACCCCTGGTCTGGTCTCCTGAAAATCCACTCCCTGAGCTCATTATCCAGCGGGAATTTGCAAGGTCAGCCTCAGGCTGAACTCTGCCCCGACTGTGCTCCTTTAACTTTGCTAATTGCAGCAAGTCGTATTTTCTAGTGACACTTTCCAATTACCTTTGTAACGAGCTACTGTTCCCTCCTGAAAGTTCCTGCCATGAATGAGAATGAACGAACGGCACACGCACCCACAATCATGCATGATTCGAGGGGCGAATTGAGGTGTGTGTTTGTCTGTTTTTTACAAGCAACCTTTCCAAGCAGAGACTGGGGCCTCCTCAAGAGTCGATCATCAGGACCTGAACAGACCAACGAAGGCTTGCAAAGTTCTTCAGCTGGGATTTCATAGGGTTTCAGGAGCGCGCCGGCGAATTTGTACGCTCCATTCCTGGTAGTTTCATTTCCTGGAATCCGTTTCCCTTGCCTGCCACCAGAGCTGCTCAAAACACTTCCATTATTACAAAGGGTGGTGTGTTTTTTTCCTTTTCAAGGAAGGGTTTCAGTTCTTTCTCCCCCAGCGCTGTTTCAGGGTCCATTTTACGATCTTCACCTTCCTTACAAGGTTGGCTCATCAGCATGGTCTATATTTAGCTGTGCTTTTAAAACCTGGTTGTTTCCCTGGAGCCTTGGGCCGCTGGGAATGAGCGGGTTTCCAGGAGAAGACCCCCCCCCCCCGAAGGTCATCTAGGCAAAAGCCAGCACCCAAACTGTCCTCCCTTATGACTTTCTGGCAAAAAACCACTTTCTATTCAGGCTGGCTTTGGACAACTGGCCTGTCACTGATTAAGGAGAGGGCTTTTAATGAGAGACACTGTCCTTTTTTCAACACTGTGGTTTTAAAATTGGTGTTAAAATTACTCAGCCGGAAACATTCACGGAGGCTGGCCAAATCTGCGGCGTAAATCACAGCCGGCTCAAAACGCGGCTCCTTGGGACTTGAAATCCCACTTTCCTCATCATGCGCTAGTTACGTTAATTAATCTTAGGACCCTAGATGAGGTTTGGCCTCCTCTTGAATCCTGTGCCCAGTTCTGGATATCACACTTCAAAGACAGACGCCAACAAGTTCAGAGGAGGGCAAGACGGGGATGATGAGGGGACTGGAAGCCAAGCCCGAGAAGAAAAGTGAGAAAGGACTGGGCTAAAGGCTTAGTCTTGAGAAAAGAAGATGGAGGGGAGGCAGGAGAGCGCTTTTCAAAGGCTTGGAAAAGTAGTTCTACAGAGAAGAAAGGGGCAGGATCTGTCCTCCATCCTCCCAGAGGGCAGGACACGTCACAATGGATGCACGGGACAGGAAAGCTGGATTTTGTCCGAATATCAGGAAAAAAAAAACTTCTTAACTGTTAGAGCAGTAGGACAAGGGAAAAGCCAGTCCCCAAAGGAACCCTCAGGAGGAAGGCAGCAGAGACCGGCTGCATGAAAAACGAAACAAAACAAAAAACTCCAGGGCACCTCTGAAAGCTGAAACTGAGATCAAGGCTTCTGAGCACACTGGGAAATAACCAAGCTTTCCGTCACATCCTGTAGGCACAAAGTAATTGTCTCCCAGAACAACCTGTGATCCAGAAAGGACTTTTAAAAAGTTTTTCTAGGGCAGCCAAATCTCTCTGGCATCCAGCTTGTCTGGATGGATGGCTGTTGGAAGTCATTAAACACCTTGGCGGCTCCATTCCTATGCGAACGAGCCAGCCACCGGCAGAGACGCACAGATAGAGAGGCCACACCGGGTTTGAGGCTTTTAAAATGCCAATATTATTTTGCTTTTTTCTCTCTCTTCCCCCCCCCTCCACATTTAATTTTGCCAACAGGAATCACAGCCTACTCCTTTGTCATTTGGATTAAGTGTGTTTTAGTCTTAAACATGGTGCCACGGTGTGTGTGTGTGTTACACGCAGTTTACACTCCAGGATTCAAGGACCTCACTTTTCCCCTTCAGGTTTTTCGGGACCAAAGAGCAGAAAATGAAAGGCTTTTCTATCCACGCCGAAGGCCTCTGACTTACCCCTTTATTCCCTCGGAACTGAATGGAGGGCTTTGGCACAGCCGAATCCTGAAACAGAAGGGAAAGAATTAGCGAGGCCCCATGGAAAACCCCCAAAGCAGGCAACGAAGGAGCGGGATCTGAGATCCCGTAGAGGTAAAAGGGAGAAGCCGCTTTGGAGGGAGGAACCAGGTAGCCCATCGGATAGCCGGAATGGTGGATGAGACAGAAATTGGCCCAATCCACCAGGACAAGACCCGTCTTTACAGAACTATGTAAGCCACCGTAGCCGAGCCCCTGAAAAGTCTCTCCTGCACTTCCCTCTTGCCGCTATGGCCTGGTATTTATTTATTTATTCAAAATATTTTCACCCCGCCTCTCTCTCTCCGTCAACAAGGGCCCAAAGGCGGCTTACATCATCAAAAGACAATATTTAAAAGCTAAAAATAGTAAGTATACAAATGTTTAAAAAGAACTAAACAAATATTCTATTAAAGAAGGTAAACGTAAGCAACACCAAAACGCATTCAAAGCAACAAAGTATAAGAATCTATTTTAAAAACATTCTCCGACCACCAGTCATTAAAGGGAAAGACAAAGGTCTTGGCCTGCTTGCGGATGGCCCAGCCTGGTTTCCAGTGGGAGGGAGTTCCAAAGTCTACAGTCAGCCACAGAGAAGGCCCCCTCCCGTGTCCCCATCAGAGGCACCTGCAAGGATAATGGGACCGAATGGAAGACCTCCCGTGATGATCTTAACACCCGGGCAGGTGAGACTGCTTTGGCCAAGAGGTTTAAGGCTTTCTTGGTCAGAAACGGTAATTTTAATTGTGCCCGGAAACAGATCAGCAGCAGCCTGGGAGGGGGGGATGATGACATCCCTCAAACCAGCCCCATTCAGCAACCTAGCTGCTGCATTTTGAACCCAATGCAGTTTCCAAACACGTTCAGGAGGTATTCCTCCATATCGCCCTTGGCTTATTTTCAAAACTCTGCCTCCTCGGCAAGCTAAAAATGAGTGGACGCAGAGACGAGGCAGGACTCCGTGAAAAACTAAGAAAAACTCCAGTTCCTCTCCAGGAATGCATGCAAAACACAGACACAAAGAGAGAGAAAGAGATTACGTTCTGCAAGGTCTTTGAACTGCTGAAAAACAGCTGACGTTTGCAGCTCTTGTGTGGCACAAAAACACTACGTGTGAGCATGTGTGTGTTCAACAGATAACCCTTGCTTCTCCGCCAGGGGAAGCTTTGAAGCCGCTCTACACTCAGCATTTTAAAAAAATTAAATAAAATCACCTGTGGTTCCCTCCTACGTTAAGTCTTGCCGCTGTGACCTGCCCTGTTTGTTTGTTTTATTTAAAATATATATCTTTTTATTGTAACTGAAGAGAAAGGTCTATTTGCCTGCTTGCGGAAGGACAGCAAAGACGGGGCCCAGCCTGGTTTCTAGTGGGAGGGAGTTCCAGAGTCTCTGGGAGCAGCCACTGAGAAAGCCCTGTCTTGTGTCCCCATCAAATGCACCTTGAAGGTGGCAGGACGAAGAGAAAAGCCTCCCCTGATTACTGCTGTTCCCAACGGGCACACGTACATCATGTCTTTAATGTATGTCACTTCCTATACTTAGACAGCCAATAGAGACATTGTGAAAAAAGGACGCCGAGTATCATTTCTCATCCTGCTGCCTGCAAAAACCCATAATATTCTCTGTTTTCTTGGCAACTTCTCCTTTTCGCAGTTGAAAAAAAAGAAAAGTCACTGGCTGCAATCGGTAAGAAGGGGGGGAGGAGGAAAGGAAGGGCAAAATAATCTACAACTAATCTTCATCTTAGTTTCCAAGAAACAGAAGTATCTGAAAGGCCTACATTTAGACTGTAAAAGGGAGGGGAAAAGCCCCTTATTAAGTATTCCAAAACTGAAAGTGAACAGATATAAAGAGAAGGAAAAAAGAAAAATTGGAGGCTGAGATTGGAACCTGCATTCAATATTAGCCTTACTGAGGGGTCACCTATGGCGAGTTCCAGCAGCGCCCAGGCGAACAGAGCACGAAGAAAGAAAAAGAGACAGAAAGGAAACAAAGCCAAGCAGTGCAAGAGCACGGCGGTTTGCGAGTCCCTCCATTCGCTAGGAAGCATGCTGATTAAGTGGGCTCTCGGGAGGTGGCTGAAGAATGACGAGAGACAGAAGCCGCCCCTTTGCTCCCCAATCATGACGTCAAGTTCCAAATTTATCTTTCTGCGCTGGTGCATGCGCAGCCCAGCCGCCTCGGCAGGTGGGACCTGGCCCCGCGGGGCCTTGAAGGTGGTGGCTCCGGGGATAACAATGTCTCCCCCTTCCCTGTTGACACCTCACTGGAAGTTGTCCCCCATTTGGCTGGCTTTCTTTATGGCCCAAAGGACAGCAGAGCCCTTGGAAAGCTCGACAACTGAGACGCCTCACCCCCTCCTCCATAGTGGGCTCTGTGGGTTAAGGGGGTGGACGACAGGGGAGCATCCTGGCTCCCAGGCCGGGATTTTAGAAGGTGGCAAAAGCAGATTTGTGGAAGGTAGTCAGAAGAACCCACCAAGGCCATGGAAGGAAAGGACCTGGCCAGCCAGGGAGGTTAATCATTCACAGTTGTGTTGCGCTTTCTTGCTTTCTCTGGTAAGGCATGGGGAAACAAGACCGTGGCAGGATGGAAAGGGGTAAAGAGCAAATCATTATGGGGTGCGAAGTGGCAGGCTGTCTAGCTGGGAGCTTTTTTTTCCTGCGCAGGCCTAGCTCAGCCACAAATCCTTCTGGCGGAGGCCTTTCCCCCAGGTGAGCCATGCTTTGGCTCCCGCAGGGTAGGCAGGACGCCCAGAATGGAGCGTTATGGTATCTCTAGTCCAAGAGACCCCAAAATCCTAGCCTGCAGGCCGCACTTCTCTGACGGACGTCTTTGGAAGGCTGAGCTCACCTGCCCTTCCTTCGCAGCATGTTGGCGACTTCACAGGGGTGAAGAAGGGAATCCTCACGATCGAAGTCATGACAAATGGGATATTAAGAGCAGGCACAGCCGTGAAATGGGGGACCGACTGTCCAGAAGCAGCAAGGCGGACATCCGCTCCCTCCCTGAGGTCCAGGGTTCTTGCTGGGCTTTCGGGTGGCGATGCAGATTCTGTCCAGTGGAGTTTGCAAAAGAGAAGGTGGCTCAGCCAGAACGCCCGAGAGGCTCCTGGCCGCTCCTCCCGGCGTTTGGGAAAAAGCCGAACTTGGCAGGAAGGAGTAGGCGGCTGTGCCAAAGGAGCGAGGTGGGGCTGAGCTGGCACCTCGCAAACTCTTGGGTAAACATGGCCATTTAAAAGGCAGCAGGGAGCTCCTGTCCCGGAGAGGGTTTGCTTTAGGCTGCTGGATTGGCGGCTTTCTCTCTCTCTCTCTCTTTTTATATCAACCGACGGTGTTTAGAAAGGCAGAGGGACAAAGAAGGGCCCAGAAAGCCAGCCGTGGGGGAGAATAAAACCAGCCGCGCAGTATACAAGCAGGGTAAAAACCCTGGCGTGGGTCTGAATGGGCCTTGTCTGGCTGCAGGATTTTGCTGGAGGGTATGCTGGACGGAGAGCAGGGGAGAGAGTGTGTTTCTACAGATATTATGCATGTATCTTATTCACGCCACTTAGTAAAGCTGCAACCCATGGAGAGAAAAAAAGCTTCATTTTCTGCTGAAACCATGCTTGATGGCTCTGAAATGCCTTCCGCTACTGCTGTCATGATGACACTCTCCTATTCTTATGGTTGCTGTTGTTTGCAAAGCATGCTTAGAGTGCTTCAGAAAAACAACCACCACCACCAGACAGTTCATTTCCTCTCTAACCTCTGTGACTCAGGTTGGACTTAACTTGCCTACACTGGCTAGTTTCTCCCCGCCACAGCCCACCCTGGGAGCCCGACCACGGCCCGTTCTCCCCACTTTGCGGGCGGAACACGTCCGTGAGGCCGAGGTGCCCGACTCCAGCCATCGCCCAGGCGAGGAACAGCGAGAACTGCACAATCTCTGAGTCCCGAAACAAGGGCGCCCTCCCGGAGTTTTGTGGCACCTTAAAAGTTCCGTGGCTCATCCTGTTCGGCACAAGCTTTCGTGGGGGGCCACAGCTGAAGAAACCGTATGCCGAACAAAACTCGCCCGCCTTTAGGGGGCTCAGAAGGGCACTTCGGGAATCTTCCCCTCTCTGTCCTTCCCGAAACAGATCGCTTTGGCCCAGCACCCCACGGCCCGCAGGGAGGCTCTGTCTAAAAGGCCGGGGAGGGAAGACGGGGTTTCCCAGCAGACGTGGCTGTGACTCTCCTTTCCGCCCCTATTCCTCCCAGTCTCCCCACCACCTCCCCTGGAAACCAAAAGCCACTTCCTTGTTCAACTTATTTTTCATGCCCTGCCAGTTACGACAGGCTCCCTGGTGTCTCGGGCTCCAGTGACACATCCTCGTCCTGTTATTGCAGGGTTAGGCCCTCAGTGGTCCCCTGACCGACTGACTGCTTGGGGCGAATTCTAAGACAGAATGAAAAACATACAAAGCAACAGGATGGGTCCACACCGACCTGCCCTTAACCCAGGGAAGCCATTCAGTTTGGCCCACCTCCAGGGGCTGTTGTGCACAGAAGGAAACGAAAAGGCCCTATGCCCCTTGAAGCTCAACGGAAGAGACGTTAACTAGCCAGCAAGAATTAACATCCCCCCCCCACAAAAACCTTTTCTGTTTGCCCTCAGACACTAGGAACTGACCATATAAACAAATTCCGGCACATCTCTTAAGGGACTAAAGATCAAGGCTTCTTTATGATGCCACCTACAGAAAGGACCCAAAGCAGCTGACATCGATAAAAGACAATATGTCACAGCTAAAAAAACTCCCAAAGTATATAAATATTTAAAACAACAGCAAAACCACATTCCAAGCGGGAGTTTCTGAAACCGAGGTCCGGGCACCTTTGTGGATGACGAAGGTGAACCTCAAGAGAGCGAGAAAAGGAAAGGTTTTGGCAGTCAGGGAAGGAGCTGGATCATTTCTCAGCTGCCGATGAGTCACAGATAACTTACGCGGGCTGATGCTTGGGGCAGGGGGAGGGAAATATCTGAAGAGTCGTTTGTGTGTGTATGTGCACGTGCATGCACTTTGCGTTGCAGGATGGATCCACAGCGAGTTTAAAGGATGAGAAAGGTACGGGAGGAAAGACTCAAGGTGCGGGGGGGGGGATTTGGGGCTCAAAGCCCTGGCCAGCCCTGGACCCAGCAGTCCCAGAACAC